TATTGACAGCAGTGAAGGAAAAACTTCAAGAGTACTGTGCAACAATATATTCAAGAAGTGGTGTGAATCAGATGTGGATACTCAAAAATTCCAAAGAACTTTTGGACAATTTGAAATCACAAGATTTTACCAAAATCAGCAGCTTTAAAACTTACGACTTTTCAACTTTATACACAACCATTCCCCATGATAAATTAAAGTCCGGGCTTTTGATATCATTGACAGCTGCTTTTTCAATAAAAATGGAACTCGTAAATTTACCTGCCTGGTCATTGGTCATTCGCAAAATTATTTTGTTAAAACAAATTCTGATTGCTCACAAAAGTACTCGAAGTTGACATCAAAAAGATGCTTGAGTTTTTGATTGACAATATCTATGTGGTTTTTGGAGACCAGGTACTAGTATTCCAACAATCTATTGGAATTTCCATGGGTACCAATTGCGCTCCGTTATTAGAAGGCCTATTTTTGTATTCATATGAAGCAGAATTTGTGCAAAATCTTATGCGTGAAAAGAAGAAAACACTTACTGTGGCCTTCAACTCGATATTTATATATATCGACGACGTATTTTCAATTAATAATGGTAATTTCCATTCCTACGTCGATACGATATATCCTGGTGAGCATGAGATAAAAGATACCACAGAGTCTGACACATCTGTTTCATACTTGGATATTTTAATTGAAAAAGACGTTAATGGTGATCTAACAACCAAGCTATAAGATAAACGTGATGCCTTTAACTTTTCTATCGTCAACTTCCCTTACTTATGCAGCACTGTACCTTCATTACCTGCATACGGAGTGTATATATCTCAGTTGATTCGATACGCAAGAGCATGCTCTACGTATGAACAATTGCTAAAACGAGGTAAATTATTGACAAGCAAGTTGATGAAACAAGTACATCAGCAGTCTCGTTTAATGTCATCATTTCATAAGTTCTATGGTCGATACAATGACCTTGTCAGGAAATACAATTTTTCATTGAGTCAAATGTGAAACGTTTTTCATACTAATTGTTAGTCCATTATTTATACACTGAATTGACGACGGATTTTTCCGTTATTTCCCGATCATGACAAGGAGCACATAGCGGGTGTGACCGGTCAGCAAGAGATGCTCACTCCTCCATGGCACCTGATCCCACCTCTGATGTGTCGGAGGTCCGTGTTTGCTTTGCTCCTATTTTGTATTGTTTTATGGACTTTGATATTGAATACTGTTCGTTATCTCCATATCCTTCTTCCTGTTATTATTCATCTACTATCTCAAATGCTCGGCTATATTTTATTAAACTTTAAGGAGAGGGGGGGGGGTAAGTATCAAATTTTTCGCTCCTCTAGGAAGGGGGGCAAAATTGAATGCAATAATAATAAATTGCAATGATAATTAAAAATCTTAAAGTTGTCATCTGGTAACCTTACCAGCGGTATTTACCACAGGCACCTGACGTTACTTATTTTTCTTTTAATTAAAAAATATACACATACCTAATAGGTATGTGTATATTTTTTAATTAAAAGAAAAATAAGTAACGTCAGGTGCCTGTGGTATTTACAGTACATTGATAAGCTTCCTCCATCTGACCAAAGGAAATGATTCATTTATTGATACAAACAGATATATTTTTATTACATATCTTTATCGAAAATATAATTATGTATTTTACATGTTGTATGTTTATTTCATCATTATATGTTAAATTGTATGATTGTAAATATTGTCTCTTGACTTCAATAAACTGAACTGTTTTTACACTTAAGATATCTTTAAGTATTTGCATGACTAACCTTGGTTATAAATACACGATAATTCCTGAAGTTGTTTTTATCATCATATATTTCAACAAGTATTTCAAATACATGTACTTTAATATTTTCTTGGTATTTGCGTGACCAAAAGTGGTTGTTATAAAAATATACACTATAATTTCCTTGATTCTTCGTAATATACATGCACATAAGTAATACATTCGCTCTCCGGGACACATTTCACCAATTAATACTTCAATACATGTGAATCATATCAAAGAGGGTTTCTTAAAGTGCTCCTCAGAAATATTACATAAGGAACTTAAATCATCAACAGCAAAAAAATAAACAAAAGGCTCATGAGCCACAAAGCTCACCTGAGTAACTTTAGTCCTATTTTTTCTTTACCAGATTTCTACCCTTGTGGATCCATTTTACTCCCGGGAATCCCATCATTGCAAAACACCATAAATCACTTCTTATTTCATATCATGTTAACATTCATTTGGAATCTATGGTTAGATTAAGAACCAGAGCAAAAATCAATACACGAGAAACAGGGATGGTATTTGATCCTACTGTGAGTTTTATTTTCAAGAAATAAAATCCTATGCTCTTTAAAATGTTGAAAATTATTCTTATGAAATATGAAGATAATTATAAGAATTCCAGCTCAAACCTCACGTTCATTAAATATGTAATTTTAAAATACTTTTAGGGGGTTAAAAATTTCGACTTTTATGAAAAGTACTAGCTTTTTGTGGCCCACTGGTTCTTGAGAGGATTTTTAATGGCCCCACCCTATTTTTGTCTTTCTTGATTATCTAAGCTTGTAAGGGGGCTTGATCCTTTACTTTTATAGTTTAATCCCCCCTTGACCCAAGGATGATTTTTACTTACTTTGGTTTAAATTGGCTGAGTAGTTCTTGAAAATAAGTTGAAAGTATGAAAAGTGTTCATACGGACAACGAACAACGGGTAATCAGAAAAATTTAATGTTTAAACTGCACTCTGGAATTATAATTAAATATCAATTATCATGACCTACATATAAAACAAGCAAAACCATACCCCAATCAGTAGGATGGTACATGTATGAATTATATCACTGTATACATAACTCCAGATAAGTGCATTACGCTAGGCGTTTAAAAAAAATACCTTCCTTACTAAGAAGTTTACTCCTTCGTTGAATTCTTAAGTATTCAGGACAAACCAAAACTAAATATCGAGTCAGCAAGTTATCTGGCCCGATATTTATTTCATTTGGAACACAAAATGAGGTCCACAAAAGGTATGTTATTGACACTGTGATAAAAAAGTTATTTTGTGTTGAGGGATCCCTCGTGTAGAGTAAATGGCACTTTTAGTGAGAAGTATAACAGTGTAAAACGTGTGTAGGTATAAAGATTTTTGACTGGATATTTTCCAATATTTAATTTATGTACTTTACGCACTTTTACTTTACAAATTGTTTGTTTGTTTGTTGTTTAACGTTCCTCTGGAGAATATTTCACTCATATGCATGGAGACGCCACCACTTGCCGGTGGAGGGCTGCGAATCCAAACCTATACTTGGCACTTGGGGCCATTGAGCAGTGACTTTGGGAGATTTTTCGTGCCTACTGCGACACGGGACCTTGGTTTAAATGGTATCATCCGATGGACCGGTCCCATCGTCACAGAGTGGATTCGGACCCGTATATATTCGTATATCAAGGTCGTGCCTTGAACGTATGCAAAACAGATTTTGAAATTGTCTTTTTTAAACCCGAGATGCAAATGGGAGTTTAAAAACGAGTTTCCTGAACTCATGCTTAATTAATCGCAATATCTATTTAAAATTTTACAATTAATGTGAATGCAAATTTCTTGTACGTGTGCTATTAGATTTCAGATTTCAAGATTTGGATTTTCAACCCAAGGGACAAAATGGGGAGGGGCACTTCCAATAAAGATGTTTTTCTACAAAATACTTGTTGCCTAAATTCCTATTTCTTCCCATAAGCTCATTCATATTTTGAAAAATAATTGGGGAAAAAATTAAAATTGCTTTGTGGAGGTTTCAGAAATTCAATTTTCACCATGGGGGTTGACTGAGTCAAAAAGTGTCTTTTTTGCTACTATGCAACTCTGGTTCCCTGATCTTTTCTTACATTTTTTGCAATACCCCATTCAGTTTTTGGAATGCTATTGGTGGTCTACTATACATGGTCTAAAAGACTTAAGATTGTTTTGTTTCATCTTGGGGGCGATTAGAGCCAGAATATAGATAGCAAACTATAGGTAACTATAGTTTACTAAGGTTTTTGTTGTTAGGGTAAAGTTGGAAAAACCAAGATTAAAGTTGGAATTACCAACTATGAAGTCGGAAAGCCCAGCTTTAGAGTTAGAATAATAAGTATTCAGGGAACCAAGATTATTTCAATGTAAGCGTACAATTGTATTGGTGCCACGTACTATTTTCGTAATATTAACTTCCAATTTTAGCAGTAGCCTACATGTATAAATATTTTGGATTGTTGAATTGAAATGTCTTTTAGACGCGTGCAATAAATTTTTTGAATTTCGATTTTCACCCTGATGAAAAAACATTTTTCTTTTCAAAATTGATACGCGGATTCCTTTTTGCCGTAGCCACCTCATCCTTTGGATGGTGATTAAGAGTGTCTTGTAAATGTGCAATAAAATGAAATTCAGAATTTTTATTTTAATTTCGCCGTGGGGCGGGTGTCAAAAGGGCGTAACATGATGCATTTTACCAAGTTTCCTGAACTGCTGTAATTTTTTTTTCAGTATCCCAATCGCACTTTGGAAGAATTCGTGGGTAGTTTAATTTTTTTTCTTCTTCAAAGTAGATTTTTTTTTATTACTTGAGTAAACGTTATAACCTTCACGTCTTTGAAGTCTCATTGTGGCGTTTCCATGTATATTTTTATGTGCGAGTATACATGCACACAAAAATGGTATTCAAATGGTTAAAAAAAGTGGTATTCATTTATTCGTGAAAGTGAGTTGTAGTTTATGTCTACTTAGGTTGGATGCAGACCATCCCTTCTATAAATATATTTTTACATTTGTATATTTGTATTTTAAAACAGTGTATTCAAAATTGTAAATCCAATACAAATTTAGATCATACGTACAACACTTAAGCCAAGTAATTATGTGTAATTTATTTTGAATGTATCTCTTGTTTGCTACAGGAAGTACCGTTTGATCGAAAAGTATCTCTAGCCTATATAAAGCGCTGAGTTGTACGTTTTTTATCAACACTAGGCTGTGTGCCCCATGATTCGGCAAGAATACTTCCTTGTTAGTCCATTGACTAAACGTAAACTAATTTCTGTGTATTTGTCTGATATAGAAAGCCAGGGACAAGGCAAAGGATTTATAAGCTTCCGTTTTCAAAGTTTTTAATCATATCCAAAATGGCGGAGAAGAAAATCTCTCTCCTCCATGCTCTTGAGAACAATAGCCTGCCAAAAGTTTTCAAGATGACGGAGGGAAGTTTGCAAATTCCAAAATGGAAGACGTTTAAGGCTGGTGAATGTTTTGTTGTTTTTTCGTGTGAAAAGCAAGTGATTGTCAAGGATTGCATAGCATCGAATTTGTCCCGAGATTTAAAACAGAACCTGGGGTTCATACCTTGGGACACCTCGGAACTCTTCTATGATATTCATTGTCTGGGGAAAACTTACAATGAAGTCGAAATGTTAATTAAAGAATTTCCAAGGTATATTATTCCAGCCTCGGATGTATTTGCAATTTGTGAGAAAGATGGAGAATGTGAAAGCATCCGAGTAGAAAAGAAAAGTTTGTTGGAAGTGAAGGAAATTCGGGAGTACAAAGGAAATTTCTCTGGAAAGTCTGGAGAGGACTATACAAATGCACAAGAACTACATGGCGAAATGTTGTGTTGTTCTGTCAAAGAGGGTCCAAAGTCTGGTCTTGAAATTGTCTTGCCCAATGCTATAAGGTGTGTGATGGAAATTATTCAAGACACTGAAAAATATACAATGCAGGATATTGTCGAACGTTTCAACTTGCCTAGGAAAGTGAAATTCTGCAACCGAAAAATTGATCAACATTTAATAGCCACTCAAAAGTTTCAAAATGAAATTTTTGCGTCTTCTCTTTCGAACAAAATGCTTTTTCTTGCGGACCTAGGAAAGTGCAATTTAGTGTGTGTTGATAATTTCGTGCAGGAGTGCTCGAATGTTGTTTGCGAGCTTCTGGAAAATTTAGACCTGACCTCCGTATATGTGGAGGTTTTAGAAAACTCGGTTGAGGAGATAGACACATTCTGTCCTTTTTATGTGGTTCCTGAGGCGTCATTGTTCAATGATACCCAAACGTACGTTATTAAAGGAATTGAAAAGAAACGAGAGATAAAAGGCAAGTATATGGTTTATATGAAATATAAACACAAAAGTCTTGCATTTGATTAAAGATATATACAGTGATATGTCATATAAAAAACAAACTTTTATTATAATTATTATTTAGCTGATGTTATAGATTGGCTCAGTTTCTTTACGAAATATTACCAGACACACCTCTCAACTTGCGCATGTTGTACTAGTAAAAATCATGACTTGTTTTCAATGCTAGGAAATTGAAATTTTGCATTTTATTTCGTTGTTTATTGAATGCATTTTAATTCTTAATCAGCTAATGAAGGATCTAACCTTGATACTGGCCGATCAGCCCATGCAGGCATTGATGAAGAATACATCGAACTTTGGAAACCATCTTCTCCCAAGCCACCTCAAACCAGCGAAAAAGAGGGAACCAGCAGTGAAGAGGCACATCCTGCCCAGCCTCCAAGAGTTTCTAGTCCTGTAACTCACAGTGCACATCCGCCAAGAGGAGCAAGTCCGACACCAGATATAGCACTCCCGCCCCGAGTGCATAGTCCTAACATTCCTCCGCGAACAAAAGAGAAATGCAGAACGATGCCCGTCGCGGCCATTAAGGTCAGTGAGCCGGTTGTTTCAGTTCCGCCGAGGTCAATGTCCCTTCCGACGGATTCACTTAATCCTTCTGTTGAAGCAGCCGAGAACTCTTTAGAGAAGTTAGGTGTAGAGGCATTGTGCCATCTGTTGAGAGAATACAAGCTGGATAAACTAGCAGACGTTTGTAAGGAGGAGAAGGTTGATGGGACTTTTATCGCATGCTTGACTGAGGATGACCTCAGAGATGAACCCTTCTGTCTGGGAAATTTCCAAATTAAGAAACTCAACAAACTCAAAAGCGGTTGGAGAGCTACCTAAGATAGGAAGGCCTATCTGTAGTCAGTTTTAGTTAACATTTTTGAAAAATTGGATTTTACATGTGAATTACAAATATATAGATAACCTGAACCAGAGGTTCAAGTAGAACATCCTCTTTGATTGATGTTTGTGCGTTTCGGTTTATCTTTTGAGCTTTGAAACTCAAAACCTAGCTATTTGCCCAACTACTTCAATTTATCATCGAAGCGACAACTCCTTGCTCGAACAAGGGGAATTTGATTTAGCACAGCTGCCAACTGAGAAAAAATATCAAATACATTTATATGTATAAAGCGTAAAGGCCAAAAAGTCTCGTTATTTGAATCCCGGTCATTTTTGTTAAATATGTATTTTTGTTCATAGATGGACATGTTGATTGCAGATCTATGTGTATGTATAATTGCGTTAATTTTAAGGTGCCTCTACTTGTTTAATTTTACGTAAATGTATTTAATTATTGTTATATATGTTTTGTTGATTATTAATATAAAAGAAAATAACGAATTATTTTCTAATTTATTAAAAATTTCTCTTCTTTATATAAAACAAATTTCAGGAATTCTGCAAAACAGTCAAATTTGACTACAAATGCATTTGATTTGTTTTGTCTATACTTCAAAGTTTAAAAAAGTGGTTGATATAATATAAACTTGAATGAATTTCTCAGGAAACCTAATTTTCATAATATTCTACATATGGGTATTTACAGTGCAGGGAACTAATTTTGTTACATAAACCAGCATCAGGATCAGCATAAGTAGGATCAGGATAGAACTAGCATCAGCATCAGCATTTAAAAAAACAGCATTACTTGGATCAGCATCAGCAAGCAAAGGATAGAACTAGCATTGACCAAAGTGAAAACAGATAAAGGAAAGTCATTTAATACAAATTACAAATAAAAATTACCCCAAAAATTATTTTTAATGGCTTAAAATATTGATGCTGTTTTTGAATTATCCACTTCCGACAGGATAATCCTACTTCCGGTAGCATTACTAGCATTGACCTAGTTTCAAACCAGCATCAGGATAAGGATCAAACCAGGATCAGGATAAGGATAACTAGCATCAAAATCAGCAAGCAAAGGAAGCATCAAAATCAGCAAGCATAGGAAGCACCAAAATCAGCATTGATGCTGTAACAAAATTACTTCCCTGCACTGTATATACATATATGTATTATATGCGGATGATGATAATAATTTAATGAAAATAATATCAAACTAGAGGTACTTTGAGCAATGGGCTCACTAAATTATACCCCCGCCTCTCATATATAAATATAATGGCAGTGTCCATGTTTTGGTATGGGAAATCCAAAATATGTGTCGGATTAAAAAGAAAAATAGGAGGTGCACAGTTGCAAAATGTAATAAAGATTCTGTGAAAGTTTCATCAAGTTTCATTCAGTGGTATGAGAGGAGTTGCGGATAAGAGATGGGTACCCCAAAGCGTAACAGACGGACGTACAGACGGAAATACCGATTACTTATAATATACCCTCCCGCTTTTCAAGCGAGGGGTATGATAATATCGAAAGTCGAATAATTACGCACAAATCCCTTCCGACAGGTTCTGACTGTTGAAAGTATATATTAACTTTTAAAAGATTTTTTCACTCATGCTCGAATTATTCACACGCATATTATACATTTCTCTTCGGAGAAAAAGAAACTTCAGAAATATATATTCAGGGTTAATTGATCAAATCACTTTGAGTGCTAAAAATTTCCTTAGCTTTCATTAAATGAAGTTGTGAACACCAAACTCAATTTTTTTCCACATTGTGCTATCGAACTTTAGTCGAATTTCCTTATCGGAAAGTCTAAATTGCAGTTCTTTCCTGAACATGCTCTTAATTAATCACCAGGACCATATTTTTGGAATCTAGATATGTAGCCGACAGGTTTTTAGGGAAACGCTCAGTCTCGTCGGGGGAAAAACATATTGAACATACTAACTTAAGAACTAGAGGTACTGTGAGTACTGAGCTCACTAAATGATACCCCCGACTCCCATATGATTAAGATAGCAAAGCCCATGTTTTGCTCTAGGAGACCCGAAATATAAGTCAAATTAAAAAGTAAAATAGGAGGTGCACAATGGCATTATGCAATAAAGAATCTGTAAAAGAATCATTATATTTTATTCAGTGGAGGGGTTACGGATAAGAGATGGGTACCCTTCAATATTAGGGAAAAATGGCAGTGTCAACGTTTTGCTATGGAAAACCCGAAATTTACGTATACATGTACCGGTATTTCCGATCAAAAAGTAAAATAAATAGGAGGTGTACAATGGCACTACGTAACAAAGAATCTGTGAAAATCTCATTAAATTTCATTCACTGAATTTCCTCTTTCACAGAGGACTTGCGGATTAGAGATGGGTACTGACTCCAAAGCGTAACGGAGGGGCGTACAGCTAGACGGGCGTACAGACGGACGAACATCCCGATCACTTCTCAAGCGGGGGTGGGGTGGGGTGTGTGGAGAGGATATAATAATGTTCGTTTGCAATCTCCTGAATCTGCATGGTGAAAAATTTGTATTGGTAAGCAGGTGGGAAATTTCACCACCCCACCACTCAGGAAATTTCAATATCAATGCTGAATTTTCAAAATTTATTTTCTGGGGAAAAAATGTTTCAAAGACGTTAGAAAAAGTTTTGAGTCAGGTCATTTTTAGCCAGTTTTTAGGGAGAGGACAACCAAAGATTTTTTTTAACAGATAAATTCAGTCACTGTCTCACCACAATTTACTCATTTTACTGAAAAATAATGACCGCTGGGATTGATCAAGGAGCATCTGTCAGAAGAAAATTCCCTGATATTTCTTGCCTCTGCCTTACATGTACTTCAAATCACCATAAAATACACAATTTTTTTTTTTGTTTCAAAAAAAATTTATTCCTAAAAAACTGTCAGTTGGCACCATGTGATAATATAAAAAAAACAATAAAGTGGAAAAAAATAATAACATGAAGCCATTTGAAAATTAAAAGGCACCTACAATGAAATTGACAGTTTTGAACTGACAGATCTATACAAATACATCTCATTGTACTGATTATAAGTATTGATAACAGTGGGTCATGACTGTGAAATGACTGGAGCTTTGTTCAATAATGACCAAACAGATACTTGCGGTTAAACTGGAGGAAATAATATGTTTTAAAGTAGATATATTTTTTTCTCAAATTATATTTCATCATATAGATTGAAATTCATTTAATTGTTTCATAGTCTACTTTTTATACAATTTCATGTTACATTAGTAAATGATTTTATATATTACACTTTTTTTCAATGTTAGGGTGTATATGTATTTGCAATGTACATTTTCTTTCATTACAAATCTATATATTAAAATCATTCCTCCAGTTTATCTAATTATCAATAATGCACATTTGAAAATTATCTTGAACAAAAAAATAATGCTTAATTCTCTTGCTATAAAGTTCTCTTCAGGAAAAAAATGACATTAGTAGATATCTAATACAAGGAAAGGCAACTGAGCACTTGGCGAAAAACAAATAGACATTCATAATACAAAATGTCCTCAATGTGTCCCACACATAAAGTAAAAAAAAATATCTACCTGAAAAAATGTGCACCAACATAGCACTTTATAAAATATGAAACAATATGCACATGACTCATTTCTCAGTCTTTCTTTAGTGGAGATATTTGAACAGATTTAAAACAAAACACCAGTAAACATACATATAAAAACAAACACATGCAGATCTGCAATCATACACAGAATGTTGGGAGTATTCATTTTTTTGTAATTTTTTCTCTCCATGAAAGACAATTAGGGTATAATGCATTCACAACTGTTTCAATGCAACCCTATTTGAAAAATGTGGTCTACTTGTCTGTCACAAGGCTATGCTTTTCCTTTCTTGGAATTTCTAGGGATGAATTCTGGTGCGTTAGGGTTCAGTTTACTAGAAAACACCTGAAAGATTAACAGAAAACATGTTTAGACAAATAGTACTGGTATGCTGAATTTAAAACTGATTACAGAAAAAATAATCAAGACAGATTTTTAAAGAAGCAAGCTGTTGATAATCGTAAGACATCCAAGAATGATTTATGTGATCAAGGACTGAACATAATTCAACATCATTATTCTAAAATGAAAAGGTTAGTTGATATCCATTCTGGAATCTTGGGAACTATAATGGGTATCTAAGAGCATATGTTGGAAGCCCTAAAATATTTTCCTTTATGTATTTTATCCATAATATCTTCAATATCTATAAGAATTTTTCTCCATTCCATGAAAATCAAAATAAGGAGGTTTGACTGTAATAGTAATTCACTTATTTTATCATTATAAGGAGTATAAATTTACCTTATTAGGACAATCCATTGTCTGATGGGGGTGGTCAGGATATGATGGATAAAATGTCATTTCTCTCTCTTCCTCCTCTTTGAGCATCTCCTCAAAACATGCCTCAATGAACTCACCCTCCCAAAACTCCTCTTCTACCTGATGACAAGAGAATGATTTGAAAGTCAGGAAATGATCAATATATCCTGATGAATAACGATCACCTTTACTACAATACAGGCAAATAATATCATTTTTTAAAGGGGGCGGTCAGAGAAAATAAAATCTTTCTTTGACAAAGAATGCTTAATTCTATTGGGGAAGGGGGAGGGGTTATGTTTTAAAATTCTTTCACAAACAAATCTTATAAAATTAATACATGTACATTACCAAATTACCATGATTTAACAATGTTACAACAAGAAGCAACCAGCCTTTCATGCAATATTGCTATGAACAATTCCAATCAATAGTCAATGGTTATGTTTATTAAAAAAGTGGGGGACAGCCTCCCCCTTCCGCGATACTACATAATTACAATGAACATAAACTTATTTTCAGGTTAAGGTCAGTGCTTCCCTTTACTACACTTCAAAAGTTAAATTAGACATCCATTGCAGATCTTTGTGTGTGGAAAGGAGAAAAATGCAGTGGACCAGACCAGGATTCGAACCCAGGCCCCCTGAAACTCAAGTCAGGTAATCTACCATCTGAGCTATCAGGCCATTGGCGATCAAACCTGGCTAACTGCAACATTCCTCCCTCCTCAAAGGTCTTTGACCCCCAAAGACCCCATCCCAGGCTCATCCCTGGCAGGCCTCTCACCTGTCAGTTCCAGGGTATGGCATGGCACCAAATGTAACCGGAAGGGAGAAAATGCAACGGACCAGACCCGGATTCAAACCCGAGCCCCCTGAATCTCCAGTCAGGTGCTCTACCAACTGAGCTATCCAGCCACCAGCGATCAAACCCCTCTGACCGCCACATTAGCTGCAATTGTTTTAATCTGATGTTTTCTGGAGAGTCTCCCTCCTCCCCCCCCCCCAAAAAAAAGGAGAGGGCTACATTATTGCAGCTATTAAACCACCACATATGAAAACAATTGGTACATATTATTGTTAGCTTTGATGAATAATGTACAGTTTCCCCAGCAAATATACATACTTGTTTGTCAAATTCCTCTAATTCTTGGTCTGCCATCCACTCAAATTCAGAAAAGTCAATGTCATCATTAACAAAGGGAATTAGATCATCAACTTCGTCTTGAAGGTAGGGTGGTAATTTCATATTCATCGTCGCTTTTATCTAAAAATGTGTACATGTATTAAAAATCATACACTTCTACAGTCCACTCTAGTAACAATGAGTACAAAGCATTTGCAGCCTAGCAGTGTACCCCTATACGATTACTATAAGCGATTAAATAAAGGGGCTACTGTAGACCTAATTTTTGAACAATGACGTGTATCACAATCTCCTTGAAAAACCATTTCAGCAACTAATAATTTTGTGTCTGAAACCTTTATGCATAAATGTTATAATTTTTGCATTGTGATCCACCAGCAAAGATGTCTTGTTAAAAGAATATCTTATGTTTTGATTTGGTAATCTCGACACTTGTTTACAAACATGGCGAGCGAAATGAAACTAGGTCATCCGACAAAACGGCAAAGGAACCATCTAGGTCATTTGAGCAGAAATATTTCCAGATAATTATACTCAATTATTATAGTATTTCAACAAATATAACACTAAAATTGAGTGATTACGAAAATCATCAAAATTTGTCATGTTTGTAACTAAAATCTTACCAATGTTCTTTGTCAATAGTTTTCGCTACGGTCAATGTCAGCTGATCGCATAATATTATGATACGATACAGAAAATAGTCCGTTGAAATGTCAAAATTGTATTTCAAACTGAGTTATTATTGGAATCAAATTTTATGAAAACCCCTATTCTTGTAAGAACATATTAGATTTTTTGGAAATAAAACTGCAATTTGTGCAAATAACTGATTTCTTCCAGCGGAAGAATATAAGGTATTATTGTTTGTAAACAATGAGGCCTCAAGAGGGAAATTTATGTCATATATAGGAGGAATTCGAGCCCGAAATGAATTAATAATCCAATAAAAATTCACCTGTTTTGTCGTACTCGTTGAGAGGTATAAACTGTATATGGACTAAATAAAGCCTTCTTAAGTTGTCTTTGCTCTCACAGCCCGTGTAAGCAATACCAGGAACAGAGAATAAAGTTTTCCTGAATTGCTACTAGCCCTGCACTTGATAATCTAATAATTTGATCACACCGTGTAGCTAATTATATAAATAGGGGTCAGTGAAAACAGATCAGAATGAACACATCTATTCTTGCAATACCATTGAGCAGTGTGTTGAGTAAGAGTCATATCGTAAAAATTCAGAATTTAAACTTTTATTCACCGATGCATGATAAACGTTCAATTACAGCAATTTTTTTCCTTTTATTTTCTATTTGAATAACATAATAAGCAGATTAGTACGACTCAAAATTATAAGTCTTTAATTTGTTGTGTGAAATTTTATTTGACACATATAAGGGAGGAAAATAAATTGTGTATGCATGTGTGTGTGTGTGTGGAGGGGGTGGGGGTGTCACCGGACTTTAGTAAAAAGTTCTATGTGAAAAGTGGGGCACCACCACCCCATCCCCCTCCCCAATGCTACGTGTCTACCTATTTCGGACTTAGAAAAATAGCTGACAGGCACAAATAGGCGTAATTTTTAATGATCCAAATTTTCAGACACAGGATGGCAATACATTTAATTTCTTTTTTACCTCACCATTATACATTGGCGTATATATATACATTTATATTCTCCCTCACTTTGTTCGTCCGAATATAAATCAATTCTATTCTATGTAATAACAAGAAAGACCATTTTAGGAGTGCTACTCGCTATAACCTTTAATCAATTAACATTCAAATTTTTGATATTTATTTACACATATACTTCAGTTAAGTAAACATGAATAAATCGGTTTTTCGACAGACAATAAATCCCTTTTCCTGAAATTTCATTATTCAGCGTGAATATACGTGTATCGAGGTTATATCGAGAGTCGATAAAAAATGCGTATGACCCAATGTATTATAGTTACCTAATCACGTGCTCTATGAGTATTTTTAGCAAGTAAACAACGAAATGAATTTTATGTAGTCATGAATACAGAATATGCATTAAATCATCCAATCAACAAATATGTCAAATAATAATAACTACATATGCAGTCTTTTGTTTACATAAATGCTATTTAGGTCTTTTTTTCTGATATCAAAGTATTTTTTAAAGTTACGCACTCTTCTAGTATTTTATTTTAACGATATCTGGGAGGTTGACATACTGTCAATTACTGGAGTACACTCCAATCAAGGCATCTTCGCTAGCCAAGGGTTTCTGATACGCTACTCTCCTCATAAACCCTTGGCATACGGTGAAGTCAAAAGACGGGATTATTTTCGTCACGTGATCTTGAATCTATCAGGTACGCACATATTGCGTCATCGACAAAAATAAAGACACATGTTTAAAAAAAAATTAAATTAAGGTTTTTTCAAGAATAATTTAGAAGCAATAATTGAGTAATGTTTATTTATTACTTATAGTACAAATCGGAAGCTTCAATATAGATTCTTAAATCACATATTTAGAAGATATTGGATGACACCATAGCTATTCATAGAATTGCATGTTATCTTACGGATCGTTGTTTACTTGCGTTTTTCATTTCCGAGATTAAAGAGTCAAGAAGTATCCCGAACGCAAACATCGTCATTTACAAAAAACAATTGATGATTGGTCGACAGATGTGTACTGAAATCCAATCAGAACTCTGGAAAAAAATCCCGATTTTTATGAACACCGTAGGCCAAGGGTTTATGAGAGTAGCGTATCAGAAACCCTTGGCTAGCGAAGATGCAATCAATCGGCAATCCTCGGCTGACTCCGCTACGCTCCATTCAAACCTCGGATGTGATAGGTGGAGGAATACGCATCAGATCGCTACATTTCTTCGCCGGAAACTGCCTTGTCACTCATTTCATATTTCGCTCTGCCTAAAGTTTTCTTAGAAAAGGTTTCTTTATTTGTGTAATTCCTCGTGTTAATTACAACCAAATGTTAGTATTCTTTGAAAGCAAGAACACAGTGTTGGGCATGCATCAAAGTAACTCGGATTTCAAAAGTATAATATTTGAATGAAATTCAAATTAGATCACATGACTGAATCAGCAAGATGGAAGATCACCGTTGACGTCCGAGGTTATGTGCGAGGTACGAGTCATCCGAGGAACTCCGATTGAGATGCAATCAAGGGTGGAAGAATTAAAATATTGCGCACGATAAATTAAGACCGCGCTGCTTCTTGATTTATTTCTCCTTATTTTAAGTTGCCATCTCACAGTTACTAACCGTTCGTTCCTCACATATTCTAATAATACATGTCCTTCCACAACAAAACAATCAACATTTTCCGAAACCATTCTCGTATTTTAAAAAATGCTTCTTTATGTTTATGTACAGTTTTAAAAGCAAAATATGGAAAATTTACTCTTTTAGAAATAAAAACTTTTAAAATGAATATATGAATCGCTAAACTACCACAATTACTTTAGAAATGAAAGATCTGAAACTCAAGAACTATGATAACACTTGAAACCTACAAATATTATAAGTGCTCATATACACTACATATTCAAGTGGGGAAAAGAGCGTATATGTCATCCTAATCTTGCAAATTTTTAATTGTAAACAAAAGACATTTTGTACTTTATTGTCCTACAAAATAATCACATACAGGTATGCATGCTCTGTCATCTTTGACAGATTTACTAGCTCGTATATGTGTCAAAAACGATACAATGTATATTTAAAAGCAACTTAAAGAGACAAAAGGGTTAAATTTTCGATTTCATATAGTGCATATTAGATTACCAAAATAGGAAAAAGGTGTGTCGACCCCAGTTTTAAAAAGAAAGAAAATGTAAGGGGGAAGGAGACCAGTCTCCAAGTGCCTGTGCAAAAAATGTATATGTCTCAGACCATTCATCAAATGCAATTTTTTTAACCAACGAGCTACAGATCTGCAGCTATCGAAATCCAAAGGCTAGTCGAATATCTTAATTCATTTTTTCAATTAAAAAGTAACTTAAAAAAGGATAAATAATTCAAACATCAATTTAAAAGAATGTCAAATAAAATGTTAATGAAATATTAAGTCGGGTTCGGTTTCCCTACATACGGGGATTTACAAGATGGATGCGCCCTTGAAATGTGAACGAAAGGACTAATCTGAATAAAAGCATAAATAAACAATGGATCCGAAAGGTGAAAATAATACCAAACCAGATTTCAAGGACAAAATTGACAAACAAAATGAAAAGTTTCAGTCTCCTGGTTGGAGAAGACTACCGAGCACTTCTGCATTTAGAGCCATCAATTTTGAACTTTACGTGAAACCCGTAAGTGTTTCATTGTTTTCCAAGTTTTTTATTTATTATTTATACAAAATTTCATTCACACAAAGTGAATGGGATCGGGCAGCAGTCAAAAGCCTATTTTAGCCCTCTCCCATAAGGTCAAGATCAACACACACAATATATACAGTAGGTATGAAACTACATGTAAATAGACAAGCATAGTAAAAAAGAAAGAAAGAAAGAAACGAGGAAAAAAAGAGTAGAAAGAAAAAAAAATTACAATGTTGTACTGGTTAGAAAGTGTTGGCAGAAGTAACATACGTGACAATGTCAAATAAAACAACACATAAAAGTTTAATTTATCCATTGCTTAAAATTCGAACTTTTTATTGTCATAGAACCACAGGAGCTTGTTCCCGGCGTGTAAGAACTATTCATTTTTTAAAAATCATACATGGTAATAATAAAACTGGTTTAATTATTACGGTATATGATTTTAAAAAAATAGTTATAACACATCGGGAGCAAGCCCATGTGATAGAACAAGGTATTTTACGATGTGACCTTTATGATGAGCGCATTTGTACCATCAACATCATTTACACCATCCTTGCATGTCCTCTAGATCTTCTACCTTTCAATAGTTCAGTGTCCATTACTTAGCTTAGGGGTATGCATATAATAATGAAAATAATAGGGCCTACCTGCTGCTACCAAAAAAGTGACTTTAAACAAAGTTGATGTTTTTACAATGCTTAGGTCTGGACCAGTGGCTATTTCGCTTATCTGACTGGATTTTTTCAACCAGAGCTACAGTTCTGAAGCATATAAGACCTTATTACAATGTAAATAAATAAGTTTTTAATAAGTTTTTAGAACTTTTGCCCAATCCCAATTGTAAAGTATATACAATAAAATATGTTCAAATCAAATAAATGATGACGAAAATATAATTAATTAACATGCAATATCATGTGATGTCACGGTTTAGACTGTGTATCAGGCAGTATGATTAGATTTGATCTCAGAAGTAAAACATTAAAAAATTAAACATGTACTGTTGGATTTTCCTTACGTTACATGTATACCTGTCAGCAAATTTCAAACCTATAGGCAAATGATGTAATAAAAATCTCCCAGTTACTCTGACATTCCCCCTCAGACAAAGTTAGGGGATAAAGTGAACCTAAAACCCCTCCTACCTTTTCAATTTTCAATGTCATGACCCCCCCCCCCCCCCCGATATTTCAATTCTAAGGAAAAACAGGATATTTACATTTTTCTCTCCTAGTTAAATTTTTAAGATTCTGAAAATAACAAAATTTTTAAACTTCAGACATTAAAAAAAAATCAGTTATTCAATATTCAAAATACAGTTTGAAAGCTTTGTAGCTACATGTTAGAATTGTTTATAGAATAATACAGGTCTGATAATAGGCACATTTTTGGTTGAATAATTTTTTTTTGAATTATAAGCAGGATTTCATGCTAGACAAAAGCCTCGTCATTCAGATTTTAAACAGGAATTTTAAAAACTTGGAAGAAAATAAAACTTTATGTATTGTCATTTCTAAAATAGATTTTTTTTTCTCGAGAGAAAAAATCAAGATGTTTTCTTTTTCATTTTTTTTTTAAAATAAAATTTTATTTAAGAGAAAATAACATAAAAGCCAGCAATTTAATAAATAACCCAATGTGCACTTTCTATCTACCATGTCCGATCTGTAATATCACGATTACTTTAAAATCTTTCATAATTTAATAACTTTACAAACTTATCATTATCTGTTTTAATTGAATACAAAATTTCATTTAGTTATACTAGTATTAAATACTGTTTAAAAATATTAAGTTGTTGGGTTTTTTTTTTAAGGGACACGACATCGACGTAGTTATGCGAAAAAAAAGCTTTATGGCTCCCATTTTCAGGTCATTCGTAAATCTTGCATTAATAAATACATGTATGTCTACCAAATACGTTTTATTTTAACATGTACACCTCCGAAATTTAACAATGGACTGAGACGTGTATTTTTTTTTTAGCTATTTCATTAAAAGGAATACGGTATTTTAAGTTTTAAACTTTCAATATTTATCCGTATAATAATTCATTTTCCCTGCGTAGAGCTAACGTTGCGTAAAGAGGAAGTGACGTGAGACGATCATACTCACGCACTTTCTTCTTCCAATCACTTGTCGTCTATCTTTTGACTTTAATATTAACATTGATAGTTTGTCGCTCGCGTGGCGCAGTGGTACGAGCGTCTGATCTAGAGAATTGATCCTTATGCTGCTAGTTCGAATCTCACTGTGGCATTTAATGACCGTCCGTATAAACCGAGGTCCTGTGTCGCAGTGGGTGCTGGCATGAAATAGATCCCTGCCTCCGTGCTCAATGGCATTGAGTGCCGAGTATAGGTAAAAAAAAATTGCATCAATCCAACTTCAAATGTTGGCGATTCTAGACACGTGTTAGTGAAAATTTCTCGAGAGGGACGTTAAAAAAACAAACAAAACATTGGTAATTTTATGCTTAGTCTTTATATATAATTTTCAACATTTAAACCCAGGTAGAAGAAAGTGAGCGGCCTATCAGTCGAACTTTAACGCCATTAACTCTTGAATCTAAAAATAAATATTTTAAAAGATCTACCAAAAGAGAACGAATTTAGAAATTTCACTTGGACAAAGTTAAAAATAAATTTGATAGTACGACTGAAAAAAGACGTTTTATAGCTTTATACAAATGCCAGTAAAATTATTTAAAAAAAAAACACCTGAGAGGTTAGAAAGATTTGCAGGTGAACTGAAAATGAGTGTCAGAAAGTAACGTCTTTAATTAAGTAATGATGTCTGATGTATTCTTGCCGTGCGGCAATAGGCCGGACCTAACGTGTTTATCGTAATATTTTGGAAAATTTTGCACATTATTTTATCTGAATGAAAATTAAAAACTCAAGTCAAAATTTAAAGAGGCATTTTGATAAAAAAAAAAAAAATTGTGTAAAGTGTTCGATAATTAAAGATTTTTAATTAATAGCAGTTATGACATTACTTTTGGATCAACCTTCTGTACATGTACCGAATTAAGGAAGGGAAAAATTTTTATACCATGTATACACACAAAATGTTGATTCCTGGTCTATTTGTAACTTGATTGTTCTTTGATATTATAGAATGTAATGGTTATGGGACCTGGTACCTTGCTGTTCCTGGGTTGTATTGGATATATAATCTACATGAGGATGAATGAAGATAAAAATACATACACGACTATGAATGAAGATGGAACATTATCAAAAAGACAAAGAACCTCTAGATGGGATTAAGAATTTTTTTTTAAGTTGGAACTTTTTATCGAAAAGAAATTATAGTTTAACACCATTCTTCACTTTGATATGAAGTTTGAGTATATAAGGTACATACAGTGTACCAGTAGTTGGCAAAATGGATGTATTATCTCTGTCTGATTGTTTCTGTGTGATATGATTTATTTATAAATATTAATTATATTGCATTTATGTTAGCATCTATATATACAGTATCAAAATGATATCTATATTTTGATAGATATGGACATCAAAAGATGTTTTGAATTGAAAATAAAAGAAGTTTAATGCTAGAGCAATAGTTTTCTAAATGTTGAAGGATTGATGCTGAAATTTCGATTTTAGTTTGAAATCAAAAAAAGTATTGATAGAATTGAGAGAGAGATAGAGAGAGAGAGAGAGAGAGAGAGAGAAGGGGTTCTAACCAGTGGAGTTATTGTCAATCACAATTCCTGGGAAAGACCAGGTGTGTCTGTTTTTGCTGATAGAGGGCATGCACATGGTAAAGTGAACTATATATATATTTATAAGGAACAGCAGGTAGTTAAACTCAGATTAGTGTGTACAAGACCAATAGAAACATGATGTAAGTATCAAGTTTTTATTACAATGTTGGGAGATATTGTATAATTATATTTTACCGAGATGTATTCTTTGTCCATCGGGATTTGATATTATGTATCTATAGAGATCATTGATAAAACCATAAATTTGAATAAAATACTTGTTTGTACATTAAGTACAGTCCCTGAAGCGTTCTACTTTCCCATTTTCCTTTCCTACATCATGCGTTCCCTGTTTCATGGTTGAGTTCGACTTTCCACTCGGCGAGCAGAGTTTTTACGCTGTTTACGGAGATAAATGAAAACAAAGACATGCATGCCATATATAGTTGTGTAGATAAATTATCAAATAAGACAATGGTAATAAATAAAGTTTACCATTGCATCCACTCTGAAATTGTAAATGAGTGAGGATGGGGGGTACTGAGTGTGGTATGTGCTAATCCCACACAGAGATTTTGTTCATGTTGTAGTTGATATCATAATGTTTAGTAGAAGGACACAGAAAATGCTTTTCTTTTCTTATATAGACTTTTTGAAATAAATTCTGCTTCATAGAAATCTAAAAACAGTCTGTCTAATAAAGGAGCGCAATTAGTGCTAATCGAAATTCAAACTGATTGTTGTAAGATTAGGTCTCCAAAATCTACAGAAATGTTTTTTTTTCTCTCTCTCTCTGCTCTTTTAACACATTATGGTTTCCATTTTCCCTGTGGACGGGAAATCGATTTTCCCGAGGAAGCAAAATACAACCTTCAATTCTATTGATTTTTTTTTTACCAAAAAAAAAAAAAAGAAGGTTTTCCTCAATTTAAGTAATTGATGCGTGTTATTGAATATACGAACATTAACAAACTTATCTGAGTGTTTTACTCCTAACCGGCGACTTGCAAAAGTATTTCCGGCTTTGTTGTATAATGTTTCCAACGAACTGAATATTTATAACACTGAATAGTGTAAAATTTCTTATTAGGAGGGCTGCTTCAAAATGTTATTATGTTCCCCAAACGGAGTTTGGGAACATATTGTTTTTACTCGGTTTCTTATTATTATTATGTTCCCCAAACGGAGTTTGGGAACATATTGTTTTTACTCGGTTTCTTATTATGTTCCCCAAACGAAGTTGGGGAACATATTGTTTTTACTCTGTTTCTTATTATTATTATTATTATTATTATTTTTCTTCTTCTTCTTCCTGGGTACTTTTTTGTCCGGGAATGATCTTGTAAACTGTTCGTCCGATGTAGGTAAAACCTTTTTAGGGTCAGTAGACATGTTCTGTAGATTTGCGGAATCAAGGTCATTTTGCGCGCACGTGCTTGCAAGAGCGTGCACGTGCAACACGTGAAATGACCAATATAATGGATATTGCCGTAACTTTTCTATTTTTTGATGAAATTTTTTGAAACTCATAATGTAAGGATACATTAGTAGTATGCACAAGCTGGCATGGTCAAAATAGCAAGAACTCACGCGCATGCACGTGCGCTTTGCTATGATTGGCTGAAACTAAAGTCTCAATATCTTTCTTGTTTCTTGTCATAATCCTTTGAAATTTTGAACATAGTCCGACATTATGAAGATCTACAGCATGATATATAAAAATGTTCATGAAAGCTTGCGCATGCGCGTGTGCTGTAATCTGATTGGCTGAAACTTTAAATGGCTATATCTCCTTTGTATTTTGACGAAATGCTTTAAAATTTAAAACATAGTCATGCATTAGGATATCCTACAAGATGATATAGAAAAAAATTCATGAAATTACGCACATGCACGTGTGCTGCAATCTGATTGGCTGAAACTTGAAATGGCTATAACTCCCTTGTTTTTCAACCAAACAGGATGGGATTTAGAATACTGATAGATATAAGGGACTCCTACAAGAAAGTATGGTGATCATGCTCGTGCACGCACGTGCGTGCATTTCGAACGAGTGAAATTAAAAAACACTTGAATGAGTGATTTTTAATACTTTTGGACTGAATGCTTTAATATACAATATATTAAAATACATAGATAGTGTAGACAAGATGATATGGTCATATCGCACATGTATTCACATGCGCACAGGTGCAATGGTAAAATTTGAATATAATTGGTATCCTTCTGGGAAAACGTTGTTAAAGTCATATATGCACAGAGTTTGTCTTATTTAATGAAGCTGACAGGGAATATGGCACCAAAAGGGAGTTGGGGAGCGTTTGGGGAACATCTGTAACGGTTCCCGTTACAATTAGCACTAGTTATTATTATTTTTTTTCTTATTTGTTCTCCGGTACTTTTTTGTCCGCGAGTGTTCTCAGAAACTGTTCACCCAACTGAGCTAAAACCTTTTTAGGGTTAATAGGTGTGTAGTGTAGGTGTGCGGAACGAAGGTCATTTTGCGCGCATACGCCTGCACGTGCGTGCGCGTGATATGAGTGAAATGACTGATATACTTAATATAGCTATAACTTTTATATTTTTTAATGAAATGATTTGAAACTCATTATATTAAGATATATTAATAGTGTAGATAATGTGACACTGTCAAATTAGCACGAACTCACGCGCATGCACGTGCGCTTCGCTCTGATTGGCTGAAACAAAAATCTCAATATCTTTTCTGTTTTTTGACGAAATACTATGAAATTTAAAACATAGGCATACTTTAGGATGTTCTACAATATGGTATATAGAAATTGTCATGAAATTACGCGCATGCACGTGCGCTGCAATCTGATTGGCTAAAACTTTAAATGGCTATAACTCCCTTGTTTTTCAACCAAACAGCATGGGATTTAGAACATAGACAGACGTAATGGACTCCTACAAGAAGGTATGGTCATCATGAGCATGCTTGCACGTGCATGAACGTGCGCTTCGCTCTGATTGGCTGAAACAAAATTCTCAATATCTTTTTTGTTTTTTGACGAAATGCTTTGAAATTTAAAATATAGACATGCTTTAGGATATCCTACAATATGATATATAATAATTTTCATCAAATCACGCGCATGCACGTGCGCTGCAATCTGATTGGCTTAAACTTTAAATGGCTATAACTCCCTTGGTTTTCAACCAAACAGCATGGGATTCAGAACTTAGATAGACATTATAGACTCCTACAAAAGGGTATGGTCATAATGCACATGCATGCACGTGCGTGCACGTGAAATGAGTAAAATTACAAATACACTAGATTAAACATATTTTTGGATTAAATGCTGTAATATTTAGTATATTAAAATATATTATTAGTGTAGACAAGATGATATGGTCATTACGCACATGCATTCAAATGCGCATGCGTGCAATGCTGAAATTGATTACCTCTGGGAAAACTTTGTTAAAATCTTAAATGTATCGCGTTTGTCTTATTTAATGAAGCTTACAGGGAATAAGGCACCAAAAGGAAATTGGGGAGCGTTTGGGGAACATCTGTAACGGTTCCCGTTACAATTAGCCCTAGTTATGTTCCCCAAACGAAGTTGGGGAACATATTGTTTTTACTCTGTTTCTTATTATTATTATTATTATTATTATTCCTGGGAAAATTTTGTCCTTGAGTGATCTTGTAAACTACACATCCGACTAAGGTAAAATGTTTTTAGGGTCAATAGACATGTTATGTAGATTTGCCGAACAAAGGTCATTTTGCGCGCACGTGCTTGCAAGAGCGCGCACGTGCAACATGTAAAATGACCGATTTAATTGATATAGGCGTAACTTTTTAAATTTTTGATGAAATGCTTTGAAACTCATAATGTAAGGATATATTAGAAATATAGACAATATGACATGGTCAAAATAAAAAGAACTCACGCGCATGCACGTGCGCTTTGCTCTGATTGGCTGAAACTAAAGTCTCAATATCTTTCTTGTTTTTTGAGGAGATCCTTTGAAATTTTTAACATAGCCATGCATTAGGATATCCTACAACATGATATATAGAAATTATCATGAAAACACGTGCATGCACGTGCGCTGCAATCTGATTGGCTGAAACTTTAAATAGCTATAACTCCCTTGATTTTCAACCAAACAGGATGGGATTTGGAACATAGATATATAAAATGGACTTTTAAAAAAAGGTATGGTCACCATGCACATGCATACACGTTCGTGTACGTGAGCTGCAATCTGATTGGCTGAAACTTTAAAAAGCTATAACTCCCTTGATTTTCAACCAAACAGGATGGGATTTGGAACATAGATATATTAAATGGACTTCTACAATAAGGTATGGTCAACATGCACATGCATATACGTGCGTGTACGTGAGCTGCAATCTGATTGGCTGAAACTTTAAACAGTTATAACTTCCTTGGTTTTCAACCAAACAGGATGGGATTTGGAACATAGATATATAAAATGGACTTTTAAAAAAAGGTATGGTCTCCATGCACATGCATACATGTGCGTGTACGTACGCTGCAATCTGATTGGCTGAAACTTTAAACAGTTTTAACTCCCTTGGTTTTCAACCAAACGGGATGGGATTTAGAACATAGATAGATTTAATGAACTTCTACAAGAAGGTATGGTCACCATGCTCATGTATGCACGTGCGTGCACGTGAAATGGCTAAAATCAAAAATACACTTGAATGAGCGAATTTTTTAATACTTTTGGATTAAATACTTTAATATTTAGTATATTAAAATATATAGATTGTGTAGACAAGATGATATGGTCATTACGTATATGCCTTCACATGCGCACACATGCAATGCTCAAATTTGAATGAGCATGGTACATTTCTGGGTAAACATTGTTAAAATTTCAAATGCATAGAGTTTGTGTTAATAAATGAAGCTTACAGGGAATATGGCACCAAAAGGGAGTTGGGGAGCGTTTGGGGAACATCTGTAACGGTCCCCGTTACAATTAGCACTAGTTATTATTATTATTATTCTTTTTTTTCTTCTTTGTTCTCCGGTACTTTTTTTGTCCGCGAGTGTTCTCAGAAACTGTTCATCCAACTAAGTTAAAACCTTTTTAGGGTTAATAGGTGTCAAGTGTAGGTGTGCACAACGAA